TAGTTACTTTATAGTTACTTTATAGCTAATTACAAGTAGCATTAAAGTTGCAAATTTGCAAGTTTCAGTAAAGTAGGTTTTCACCTGATTAATAGATTTTTCTATCTGTAGACGAATTCTTATAAATTTTAAATAGTTTTTAATTTCTTTATAATTTGGTTATCTTCTTTGTATATTTGTTTCTGTTTTTTTATTTTATCTATATTCAATTTTTTTCTTTTTTACTTTTTTATAAAAAAGTGGCATCAGATTGGCAACACTCTATTGTAAAACAATTATTCTAACAAGATCAGTAAGAACCATCTGTTAATATTCAGAGCTCATAACCTTGGATCTCAGAAGAAGGAAAAAATATTCACATAGGCGGGTTGCTTCTAGGAAAGGCTCAAGCACTTAATTTGGTTCATAGTGATTTTGCTGCAATAATAAAATAGGTCAAGAAAAACTTTATTTGTACAGGTAAAAAGCAATCAAATAGGTAGTTGATAAATTTAGTCAAACCGAAAAATTGTTACCAATTTAAAAAATAAAAGTAGAATCATTGAAGTAAAAATATTAAAAAAAAAAAAAAAAGGTGCTTACAATACACTAATAGGAGACTATATAAACCTTATCTCATTTCAGTTTCAATTTTTAACATAACTCTAAAGATTAAAAAATTTGATTTGATAAAAGGTTTATTCTAAGCAAAATCTACTATAATTTCAAATATTAATTTAGACAGGTACAACTTCAGGTGCAATTTAAAACAAGTATTAATACTACGAAATTGGTGTGGAAATAATAGACAGATAATGATTATTATGGTAAGTTATTAAATTTTGTATTTTATATTTGGTAATTCTTAAAATTATCTAACGAATATCCATTTTATTCGCGTTGATTAGTCTAAGTATAAAATTATTTGCATTTAAATTTATGAGTCGCATGAATAACGTGAAATAAATAATAATACAATTGACGATTATAAAGAGGTTCGGATTATGAAAAAATGTGCGTATTGTAGATAATATAATACGGTGATGAATGATGTCAGGCATGACTACTTAATGATCGAATATGTTCGATCCTTATCGACCGACCATACTCAAAAAAAATTTATGATCGATCACGATCAAACAAATCAAATGATCGATCATTCCCTAATCGATCATCATCTTTAGTCATTATAACGGGATCAATTATTCGTAATTCTTCTTTAAGATTATTACGGGCTAACGTATCTATTTCCTTTGAGACTTGAGAAATTATTTTCTAAAAATCAGATTTACATTAATATGAGTCTTAGATAAAGAGTATAAAATCTGTGTGCGCATAGTTCAAATTGGCAATAACATGTCACATGTCCTCCAGATTTTATACTGCTTAGATAAATGCAGTCAAGTCTTGTCACAACAAATACATGGAATATATAAGAAGTTTTCGTCTAAAATTGATCGCAAAGTTGCAAAATTGGGATGCCAATATAAACCAAGCAAATTTTTATAATAAATTTTTTTTAAAACTTTGAACAAAATAATTCAACAGAAATTAATCAAATTTAATAAAAAATTTTAAATTAATTCTGTAGAGTTTGGTGAAAAAATTTTTATAAAGCTAAATTTCTGGTGTTTTTTATTATTATTATTATTATTATTATAAAAAATTCGCTTGATTTCTATTGATTCACTCCCGGATTCTAAAAATCTAATTATGACCCACTATTTCAAGACCAATTGTAGCAAGACTTGACTATATATAATATTTATCTACCTTAAATTTTCCATCAACTTTTAGCACACTTTCTATAAAATTGGCCGCCACCATATTGGACGTCCCTATCAGTAGTTTGTTGTATACTTCGACAAGCATGTCACACAATGTATAGAATGTCTGAAAATAATCCAAATCGAAAGGCTATAGAGGTTGAAATGAATAAAATTCTTAGATGCAATGGGTCATAAAAATTTATGGAAATAAATGAATTCTGCTTACTATATTTGGCACAAAAAGGTATGTGTATTCTCCACTTTCTTGAAATGATGAATCATCATGTTTTGTTATCTTTGATTTCCTAAAAAATATTTTCTTCATAATAGATGTTTAAGATCCGTTAGTCTTATTCGACTTGATAAATGACGAAATGAATATGCATTATGTTTACCATTTTTTGTTTCGAGTGATCATTGGTATGATATTCAAATTCTTGTAGCATCACGTTCAAGGCTTTGACGTAGTCTTGTGGGTTACTTATATCAAGTATTGATGCCAATGAACAACCGAGAATAAAAAAGTTTCCTGTGCTATAAAGTAAACATATTCAGTCAAAATGCTGTGACTGTAACATGCTGTCATATAATTGACTTTACCGTTTCTTCATTCTGACATTTTCGTACATCAATCCCAGATCTTCTTTGCTCAAACATACGGTGTTAAACCAATGTATCCTTCCTTCATGAACTCGCTTCAAATATGAAAAAGTCGTTATACGTTTTTGCACAAGCTCATATAAAAAATCATATGAAGACGTTGTTCCAGTATGGTCTGATGAGTTGGAGGGTGAGCGAGGGCTTGGTGTTGGAAAGTGTGCAGACGGTAAAATTGTCGTCGCAGTGGTATTCTGTGTCGGGGACGCATTTGCAACGGTTGAATTTGCTGGTTTGTCCATGCGCGTTATTTTATCTCGAATGTCTTTATGAACATACGTAATGACTTCTATTTACGGAGAATTCTAATGGTATTATATTTTTAAGCTCAAATTCAAATACCATAACCTAAAAAGATGAACGATCCTCTAAGTTCGTAAGGTCTAAACTGACAATAATTTTACTTATGGTGAGACTAATGTAATTTATCCATCTTGCACAAAAATGATTGTAATACAAACATCGAGTATTTTAACTGTTAAGTATTTAAAAATCATCGCGTGGTTTACGGTCACGATTTTTGATACATAACAATTCAGAAATTGAACAATGGAAGAATCACCACAAAGTGTTGGAGGAACTAACAATCACAACAATGTTACTGGTGCTACTGGTTCTTCTATCGCTGATTGTATAGAAATACTCGATGATAATGACATATCATCGCAGACAAATCAAAGTGCGAATATTCAGAGAAATGAGAGTATAGAACTTGAAGAGGTTGAAGAGGCCGATACCGACCCCGACAAGATTATGTATGAAATCCCAGTTTATCTCTCTCAAAAACTCACAAACAAACTCTTTATAGTTCAGCACCCTGTCCGACCACGCGCAAACCCCTATATAGGTAAAAATACACCACGCGAAGCGCGTTTCAAGCCGCATTCGCAAAAACTCGAACTTGACATCCCGCTACAGACCACCTCTCAATGGTATGATCGGGATAGAGGTGCAGAATTAGCGTTGGGACTTAATGATAAAGAAGCTAGAACCATTTACGATCGTACATGGAAGCTTGATCAATATGATGGATTATTAGACAAACAAACATTGCAGTCTACTATTGTTCCACCACAAGCAACTTATTGGATGGGGACGATGAAAAATAGTAAGCATACAAGTAATTGAACCGATTTAATTGCGAGTATTTACAATTATTTACAATTTTTTGCTATTACTTTTTAGATGCCCTTCACTTAACACCTGTTCATGCAACATTACAATTACGCCCGGGATTAAAATATCATGACAAGATTGATGAAAAAAATAGAAATGCTAATAAAAAAGCTCAGGTTCTTGAAGAAGAAGATAGTATTAATGAATTAAAAAGCTCCAGAATGATGTCTGATGAACAAAGTATCGTGTCCAACAGAGTTAGAGGATCTGGAAAGGGGAAAGTTCCCATGGTAATTGATAGAAATCATAAATATTATTTGCCAAATTTTTTATTTAAATGTACTCAATTTATTTATTAAAACTTTATATCAGAATGCTATTACAGATAAAAGTACGGATAAATCACTGCTTAAAAAAAACTCCCGTCCAAAATTACAACGAATAGGAGAGGAAGAATCATGGATTAAGATGAGATATTATGATGCTGAAGTAAGATAAATAACAAGCACCACATTGATATTTTAATTTGCTGATTGTAGAATTGTTTTTTTTTTAATCTAGTCCATAGAGACGGATGAAATATTTAATCAAATTCGCACGATACAGACTGATCCTTTGGTGTGCACTACAACTAACTTAAACGAGTATCTTGACAAAATAAGCGCTTTTCCAACGACTGTCATTGACAATACAATTGTTGTGGATGAAATTGTGAAACGACCACCCAATAAGCTTCTTTCTACTAATTTGAGGACTGATTCTATATCTAAACCCATTGAAATTTTGCCTAAGCCTCAACTCAATTCCACTACGAGATCAACTCCTAGTAGTTCTAAGAGTCTGAGCTCAAAAGGAACAAGGGTTAGTCCTTCAAGGGGAACTAGAGGATCACGAGGAGGAACAGGAATAAGAGGAAAACGAGGTAGTGCTTGTACCCGGATATTTAGTCGAATATCCGGATAGACATTCTATTTAATCCGGATTTATAAATAAATGTTTATTTAATAAATTTATTCTAATATCTGGCCTATATTAGCTCACTAGGAAAAAGACAGTCGGATGTGTCGATCGCACCTTTTACGGTAGTAAAACGTTGATTAGACGTACACTTAAATAATGTAAATGTTGCATGGTTTCAAAAAATAAAAATGATTATATGTATATAGTATACATATCGATATAGTTCAGTGAGCATGATTTTTAAAAAAAGTTTTTTACTGAATTTAAACGACAAGTGGATGAGGTATTGCGAAAGTCAGTGTGGTATGACTGATCAGATCAGTATGGTATAGACTATGTTTTTCTTAATTGTTACACCTCTTAGAATTTAAGGTTAGCTTTGCCCGGAATTATGTTTAATGCCGGCCAGGTTTTTATAGGATGTGACAATTAAGCAAAACAGTATCGTAGGGTTTGATGAAACATCTGATTACCGTTTTTTTAAGAATTAGGGTTAGGGTGTCCGTATTAAGATTAGATTAGTTTTGAGTATAGTAGTTTATATAGATAAATTTGTCTTTCCGACATTTTTAATTAATGCTTCATGATAGGTTTAGACTACTGTTTTCTATATTTTTTGCATTTTTCACTTTTTTCGCTTTGTTTTGCTTCGTCGGACTGATCCGGGATGATCAAAATTCCTCTATCTGATTGGTCGATCATCACGTGCTGATGGATATTGATGCGCAAATAGATGCACTCGGTATGGTACAGTGTCTAATTTGGTGCATGATGATATCTCAAAAACTATCAATCAGAATCATATGGTTTCGACAATCTATAAAACCCCTTTAGCTCACTCCCAAAATTTTTTCCGGCACGTGATTTTAGCCAATTAGATTGAAGAATCAGGTGTAACATGAAAATTATGCTTTTTACAAAAATTGCCAATAATTCGAAATTTTGTTTATAAAACTGCTTTACATGTTCTAACAAAAAAAAATTCTTGTGAAATTTTGGTATAATTTATGTCTATTCTTTGATCTTAATCCTAACTCTAAGATGATATTTATTGCATTAAATCTTTCGCTTATTTGATTGTTTTGTTTTCACATATTTGATTGTTTTGATTTTACATTACATCTGATCTTTCGATCTGATTTATATATAAATTTTCAAATTTTTGATACAGAAATACTAACAAGAGCCTTAGGAACTTGTTGTATTAAGTTGGTATAATTATACTTGCATAATCTTCTTGTCTCATGTTTTATATGGGGTTGAGTCAATAGAAATCAAGCAAATTTTTTCTAAGTAAATTTTTTTAAAACTTTAAACAATAATAACTCAACAAAATCTTAATCAAATTTAATAAAAATTTTTTTAAATAAATTCTACAAACTTATAGAATTTGTTTTAAAAAAGTTTTATTAAATTTGATCAAGTTTTGGTTAAGTTATTGGTATATAAAATTTTAAAAAAATTTTAATAAAAACAATTTGCTGGATTTTTATTGACTCACCCCCATATACTCTCAATACCTTTTTATGAAATTACACTTACAATGAAATTTAGAATACCATTTAAAAATATGTTCTTTTTTAAGAACTGCTTCTTCTAGAATTGATTTTTGCTCACAGAAATCAGGTTGCTGTGATATTATTCTTTGTGTACAACAACCTAACCTTTCTAGATTATTTTCTTTATTTTTTCTTAAATACTTTTTATACACCAATCAAACACCTTCTAATGGCTACAATTTATACTCTGTAAGTACTTGCTTTATTTTTTTTGGCATTTCTCACAATATTTCTACTTTATAATTATTTGAAAATATCATCAGTTGTGTGATTTTCTCTTTATTTTCATTGATATACCAACTATCACGTAATTTAGATTGTACCCCCAGGATCTATATTTATTTTTGTTGCGACCAATATATTTTCTGTCATTGCATTGTGATTTGTTAATTGGTCAAAACAGAAAACTTCAACACAATCAGAGTGAAGCATTCCAAATATTAGAATTATTTGTTATACAAGTTATTCTAATATATTGTAATATGCTTGCTTGGCTTAACTAAATAATAAATATAATAATAATAAAATATGTCGTCGCCAGCTAAGTCAAACAAATATATTACTTGACTTAACATATAAGAGTGGTTAAGGAATGTTTTAAACAAGAAAAACTAAAGAA